CTTCCTCCGGTCCTGCAGCCAATTAGACGGCCCCCTTGGGCGGGAGGCGTGGGTCGCTCCATAAAGCGGCGCGGAGCTGTCACCCCGCGAGCAAGCTGCGCACCATCCAGGCCGGAGCCAGCGCCGCAGACTCGGGCGCCTCGGGCCAGGGAGCGCAGAAGAGCCATGGCCACCACCAACGGGACCGTGGAGAACGGGCAGCCGGACAGGAAGCCGCCTGCCCTGCCGCGCCCCGTCCGCAGCCTGGAGGTCAAGTTTACCAAGGTAAGGTGGGCGCCCATCCCACCCGACGGTCGCCTGGCTCTGAGCTGGGCTGTCCGGCCCGGGTGGCGGGGATGCGGAGCCATCAGGCCGGGAGCCCCGCCGCTCCGCTCCGAGGGTGCTGGGCGCTGCGGGCGGCGCGCCTTCAGTCGAGTTCGCCCGGCGTTCCCGCGACCGGAGCCTCTCCGCTTGGGTCGGGCCCTCTCCAAGCGGCGTCCGGCGCAGGACCTCCCGGGAGCGAGCGCGTCCACCGCGCATCCCGAAGGCGACTCCGCGATCTGCCGTCCCAGACGGGCCCTCGGGCGGCGGGGCTCAGCGCTTTAAGCCACCGAGCCTGGCGAGGGAGGCTGCGCAGCGCCCGTGCGGCTCCAGGCTGCCACCGGCGCGGCCCCGACGTGCCCTTGCAGGGCCTGCTTTGAAGGCGAGTGGAGGTGCGGGCCGCGGGCCCTCGGGCCCGCCGGTCTCCCGCAGACCCTGCGACAAGGTTTCCGGGGACGAACGGGCCAGGCTTTGGGAGGGTCAGAGGGTGCCTGAGAACACCGAGAGTTGGTCACGGAGCTCGCGCTGCACTGGGAACCCGCCACTTGGAGACTCCAAACCCATGTCATCGGGAGCCAACTGGAGAGACGTCGTACCTTCCGAGCCTAGCCTACCTGGTTTACCAGCAGAGCGAGGGGAAGTAGGAAGGTGAGCCCTGGTGAAACTGCCTTGGAGCCCAGAAGCACTGGTGCTGACAGACGGAGAATGTGTTCCCGAAGGTCTCCGAACTGGGCCTGGGAAGCCGCGCTGGTGGCAAGGCCCCGCCGCACCCCGTGGAGTCTCTGCTGGTTTGCGCCGGGCTGGGAGGCCGGGCGTCTGCAGGGCGGTGAGATCACCTGCCTAGGGCAGAAAGGAAGATGGCGAGGCCTGGAGAGCCGGCCGCGGAGGGCTGCCGGGAGCGCGTCCCGTGGGAGGACACGGAGAGGCTGTTTGGAGGCCGTGGACACGGGGAGCGCTGCAGGGTCGCAGGCCGAGAGCCTCCGTTGGCATCTCTTTCCCCAGCTTCCCTCCTTTTTATTTTTTAATTTGCATCTTATCCCTAGCCCCCAACTCCAGCTGACACAGCACTTAGAAAATTCCCCCACCAATTTTACTTTCAAAAGTAGCAATTATGCCTCTCAAATAGTTTTAATCAAGCGGAGAAAGTTGTAGGCCACTATGTGTGGCCTTCAGATTTGGGTCTCTTGGCACTTAATGTCGGCTCTGCCTCAGATCACATGACATTTAAATTAACTGTTTTCAGAGGGCTCTGTAATCAGTGGAGACACTTCACCATAAACGCTGGAGATTATTTTTAATGTAGTTTCCGTAAGTAGTATCAGCTTTGGAGCGAAAAATTCCACCACACGCTCTGGGAACATAAGAATAGTACCTACGTCTTTGTAGATCGTTAACACTGCTGGTGCTTGCTTGCCTGTTGGTGGTGGTGACGTTTGGTTTTATTTTTGTTTCGTAAGTTTTGGGCTTTTTTTAAAGGAGGCAGAACCCAGAAATCACCTATGGTATTGTCCTTTTTCTTTCTGCCTTTTTGAGTCCTATCAGAACAAGGAAGCCACATGGAATGTTTCTTTCTCTGCGATTCTTTACGGCCCTTTACAAGTGTATATAGAGAAGGATCTTAGAAGATTCACAGAGCGGCCAGTCTGTTGTCTTGCTGGGCAGCCCCTTTTTCTTAGTGGAACAGAGCAGGGTATGTGATTAAGGCTGAGAAGAGATGGGGAGGGGGAGGCTCCAAAGAACCTGGAGACTTAGGGGCTCCCGGGTGATGATGGCTGTTGTGGCCTGATGTCAGGCCACTGTACTCTCCTTCCCTGTGGAGGGTAAGGCCTCTGCCTGTTTTGTCTTTGCAGACCCACCACCGCAGAGGCCTACTGCTAGCACCTGCAGAGCCCAGGCAGCCTGTGTGGTGGTGGCTGAGGGACAGCAACCCTGGCGAGCAATGCTGAGGGAGCCTCTGGCTGTAGAGACAGCAGAAGGGGCCTAGGAAAGAAGCAGGAGACACAGAATTGCAGAATCCATCGAGGCCCGGGGCAGGCGGTGGGGAGGGGTGCAGTGTGTGAGCCAGTAAAGGCCTGTTATTTTTCAAACCTGACTCATGGTACTTCTTGCTAATGGAAGAAATGGCGGGTCTGAGCCCCAGCCTTGGGGGTGCCATTTCCTAGGGTAAGGCCAGTTTCCAGAAGGACGACCTTGTCGGAACTTCCTCATTTGTTCTCCCGTTTTAACACTGGGCTCTGCTATGTGACCCTGGTGTGGGGGAAGGATCCCCTTAGGCACCCCCTCCCAGATTCAGAGGATACCAAGTTCTTTCACTTCAGGGGGACCTTTTCTTCCCTTATAAAATTTCTTCCGGTAACAGAGATTCTCCTTAAGAGTTTCTGGTTCACTAAAATTCCCGTTTTTATGATCTCTTTTGTGAAAAGTAAACTGCCCTCAACTCTCCTTTTCTGAAAACATACTCCTCTGAGTTTAGCCGAAGTCCAATGGAAGTTACTGTAAATGGCGCCAGCACACCTCCCTTGCAAGACCCCCGTCTTCTCCACCCGGGACCCAGGTCTCCTCAGAGCAGCTGTGGTTTTCCAGCTCAGTTCGGAGAACACGCCTTTCTTCTTCAGGAAATTTCGAGTTCGCCTACAGCTTGGTGTAACAATTTCATACCTCTGTGAGGTTTATTTGATACCAATTCACAAGTGGAAGATAACATTTTTTTTTTTTTTTCTGGAGACTTTCTCCTTATTTGGGGCTCAAGACAATACAGGCAGCATAATTGGTAAGCCACACTTACTGACCCCTTCTTTATTTGTGTTTTTGTTTTGTTTTCGTGGAGAGAAAATCAACAGTTAGAAACCACTTCCAAGATTACTTTACTAGTGTAGCAGGAAGAAAAAAAAATCTTGGTAAATTGGCAACATTGTGATGGGAAAATATGGTCAAAGTTGAGGAGTCTGTTGTTGTTGTTGTTGTTGTTGTTGTTGTTGTTGTTGTTGTTGTTGTTTTTTAAGTTGCTGGTTAGGAGGGACTACAGACGAATGTCATGACCGACCAAGTAATTTTTTTTTTTTTTTTTTTGGAGGCACATGCTTGGAGATGAAGTATAACAGACATCTGATCGTTGCAATCTGTCTCCATCTTCCTTATTTATATTCTCTTCTACCGTCTTCTCATTTCCCTCCCCCTTGGAATTGATACCAGGAAGGACCCAGAATCAGCAGTTTTCACTAACAGTCTCTATTTGCTAACCCACGAAATTTCATCTTCCGACAAATGCCCCCCGCCCCCCGGCTCTGGCTCTGCTTTCGTCCCTGCGCTAACTGAACCCCTCTTCCCCACTTATTAATTTCTCGCTGTTACCGAGTGATTGCTCGCTGGATGGCAAAAGTGAACGCTTGGATTTGGTTTCAGCTGGAAGAATAAACCTGTAATTGTAGCCTGGCTTATTCCACGTGCTTCCCTGGGGGCCTGGCCTCATGTTGAAGAAGCTGAGCTTCCAGAAGTCAGACAGGCACATCCTACAGGCAAGGGATGCCCTCAGCCCTGGATTCCACATGGGGGACAAGGTGCCTCTGCCCACCTGCCCCGTCAAGAGTTGGCCTTCTGTGCTTTGTCCCCGCCATGATGAGACTTCCCCGCTTTCAGAGAGAGTTACCAAAACGGTCTTCCCCCAGCAGCTTCGCAGAGCGCGCTTCCTTCTCAGTGAGCTTTGGAATTTTTACAGCAGAGTCCAGGACAGAGACCGTAATCAAGCCATGCACAAGCTGGATGAGATGTCGCTCTGCTTGCCTATCATCACTGGGGAGTCAAGTGTTCCTAATGAATAAAATTCACAGCAATTGAAAATAGCCCTTGGAGTGACACAATTCTTTGAAAATTAATGAAAGGGAAGCAAAAGATACGCATATAGATGTAGAAACGGACTTTGATAAGCTAGCTTTGTACTTAGAAATTATTGATGGAAATGCTTCTAAGGTGTCTTACCCACGTCTGTGACTGGGGTCTTTGTGACGCCATGATGGGCTGTGATGACAAGGCTGTCCCAAGCTGGTACAGCAGCAGATCGTCTGTTCTATCTGGGTTACGGGGGCCTCCACACTGTCAGAACGTGTTTTGTATGTTAGCTGTCACCTCTGTTCCTCATTCCTTTCCCAAAGCCCTCTCTTTTAATGTGGTGCTTTTTTAAGGTAGTTAGCAGCTAGAGTAAAGTAAGAGTAAATAGTACATACATTTCAGCGTGGGAACTTTGTGAATTCCTTTTCGTGTGCTCATGATGTCTTTTTGTTTTTAACATCCTTCTTCTCGGTTGTGTTCTAGGTAATTGAGGCCCCGAGCTAAATGATTTCTGTGGGTTAATTCCTTGGTTCTAGATATAAATGACTATTTGCTACATCTTTTCATATAACCAGACCATTTCCTAACCCAGATATTTATCTTTGTATTCCAACACTGGCTTTTATCAAGCCCAACATGAACATAGGCATTTTAAAGAGAATGGGGGAGGAGTGCCAATGTACGTTTAACAAAGATTAGGGATTATGGTAAGATCCTTGTAGAAAGCCAATTCCTTGGCAATCTGGCTGGGGGTTTCCGCAAGAAGGAGGCAGAAGGGAGTGCTCACTGCCGACCTACCCTTCGGGGGTAGGTGATTCCTTGGCACTTATAGGTCCAAACCTATTTAGTCTTCGCCCAAACTCTATGAGGGTGTTGGATTTAACCTATACCCGCTAGCCATTCTTCCATGAATCTGTATTAATGCTTTTTAAAAAGAGAGAGACAACATTTTAGAAAAATTCTAAATGACTTTAGTTTCATTATGACAAAAAGTAATTCTCTGAGAATGCATTAGAAGTTAGGAGACTTGGATTCTAATTCTGAGGGTGCTCCAGGGTGGGCGTGGGACTCCACCTCCCCTCCAGGTCTCATCTATAAAGGGGTGG